TGTTCTTTGAGTTTCGCCACCTTTTCTCTCTCCTAGGGAAATCGGTGTTATTCGCTAGGAACTAGCGAACGCCCGGTGCTTGCATAACCAGCTCCGGTGTCCATTGCTTCCACGCTGCGTCATTAGTGCCCAAATATTTTTTTTTTATGCAAGGAGCAAATTCTTTATGTTGTGTGCCAAATTGCCTATGAGCCCCATGTGCACCAACAAAGAAACATCATATATGCTTTGGCTAGAAAAACCATAAATCTCCACAGCCTGCACATTTCCATTTTTATCGTTTTCATTCACTCCTACATGTAACATGAACACATTTTATCTCCTTTGTGGAACCCTAACTTTCTTTCTTTTGTTTTTTTTTTTCCTATCTAGCTTTTGTTTTTAGGGTAAAAGACTTAAACATAACCTGAGTTTTTTCTAAATTGACTTAAGTATGCTCTGGGTTTTGCAAATAGACTTATATATACCTTATGGCTGTAAAAGATTGTTTTACCTTCTATTATTCTTCAAATTTTCAAAAAGGACTAGAGAGACCAAGACCCTAACCGAATCCAACTCCATCTCATGCTTGGTCACTATATACCTTGAATGTGATCCACATGTGTATCAATGAAATGAATGACAAGATTTCAACATGTGTGGAATTTGATTAAGGGCCTCCTTAGAGTGATTTATTGTCAACAAAAACTTGAGAATGTGGTCCCTAATCACAATCCCACCCTCTTCCTTCCCTCATCTAAGATCTAACCATATTGGGATTCTCTACAGTAGGAATCTTAATTAGAAAGAAGAGATTGCCCAATTGTAGAGAAACCCAGTTTGGGAATATGGCCCAAAGTAATGGTGATCATTGATGTTTCAGTGATTTTGGAGTACTTTCAAAGGAGCACAAAGAACGTCAATAAAGCTCAGTTTGGAAGGAGTATACATACAAATTTGTAGAATACAAACCCTTGTATTTTGTATTATTTTGTATGTATTTACACTGTACATATTTATATTTGTACTCTTTTCAAACTGAGCCTAAAATTTTGTGCAAATAATGAGAGATTCAAATTTGCCTTAAATTCAAATGGTGGCAACAAAATTCTGAGAGTAGTTTGGTAAAGAAGCATCCCAACACATAAGCTTTCACCTTAGGCACCAACAAAAAGGGTCCTACAGAGATAGGTTTTGAGAGTAGTTTCTTCAGGGGTCTATATCTCAGTTTCCTCTGCCTCACCATTTCCAATTTGTTTTTTGGTGAACAAGCTCCTTATATGTACTCATATTTAAATCAAATAGAAATCCTTAGGCAACTAGTATGGCTGTAAAAGAGAACTTAGTAAACAAAGCAAGATCCTAGAGCAATCAGTTCTGTTGTGATTGCAAAAACAAGGCAAGAAAGGAAGTGTATTGTTTTAAAAGATTTTATTGTTTTCAAAGGATAAAATAAAAAATTTTTAAATATTAAAAGAGGTCAAAGAAATAGCAGAATAAATGAGGTCAGTTCACAATGTATACTTAAATGTATTTGAAAAACTCAGGGTGTATTTAAGTTAATTTATAAAAACTTAGGATATGTTTAAGGACACATTTGGTTCACAGTTGGAATTGGAATGAAATCTTTTAGAATCAGAATCAGAATAGTATATTCTCATAATCTGTTTGATTCAGTCAAGAATGAGAATAAAAATTGAAATCAGCAGGAATGTGATTTCATTTCCAAGGGAGGGGAAAGGAATAACTATTCCTTCAAATGGAAGAATATCATTCCAACAAAAATAGGAATGAGATTTTAATTCCACTCAACCAAATAATTAAAATCGAAATAGCCCATTCCAATTCTGATTCCAAACTTTTATTCCCGCAAACCAAACGGGCACAAGTCTTTTTACCCTTATTTTTATTAGCACTTTTTTCTATGGTGAAGTTTGCCGTAATTTTGGTCTAAGTACATTTTTCTCGTGTCCAACAATATTAGAGATATTTAAGTGTTCCGTTTAATTTGTTTGTTGTCAACCCACCAAGGAATTAATGTGGCTTGTTCTGTTGGTCTAAGTACATTTTCTTACCCTTAAAACCGTTTTTTCCTCGTTCTTTCTTTCTATGTCTCTAGGTTATTTGCTGGTTAGGTGGTGATGGTAGAGAAATTAGGGTTTTTTTCTATCTTGCCTGTGGAAAGGTGTTGAAACTTAAATCTCAAGAAAGAGGAGGATGAGCTTGAATTAGTATAAATGCAGGGGACCGGTGTCAATATAGACACTAGAACATGTTTGGTTCTGTATTTAAAGAACTTCAGATGGTTTCAATCATGAAGGGGTAGAGTCCATATTGGGGCCCAACAAACAATGTTTTAAAAAACGACCTGAAATCAGAACTGTTTTGGCCACTTATTTTCAGGTTGATGGTTTAACCACTCGGTCTGAATGGGTGGCCTGTTTTGATAAAATAAATTAAAAAAATAAAAAAACAACCAAAAACTGTAGAATGAGCCAACGGTTTGACCGCTCGGGTCAACGAGTCATTAACTGACTTAACGGTTTTTGGCCAGGGAATAGGTTTGGGGTAAAACGGAACCGGTTGCTTAGATGCTTCTTGGGCCGAACGGTTTGACTGTCTTGGTCAATGGCAGTTCAAACACTATGCCTACAAGCAAGCCCCACATGCATATCTCAACATGCAATAAGAATATCTTTTTGTATTTGTCCTTGAGAGATGATCCCAATACACAGTTGAGATGTGCTGTGAAACGCTTACGCTTGTGGGTGCACTCTGCGAGAAATGCATGCGAATTCAAAGGGTAACATTTAAATTAGGGTAAATTACATATAGGTAACATATACTTTGGGGTAGTGACAGATAGGTACCCTGAACTTTCAATTGCAACACTTGAGTATCTTGAACTCAAAAAAATAAACACTTGAGTCCATTCGTTAGCATTCTGTCAGCTAAATAATGCCAAAAATACTATTATTGTGTATTTCTGAGATTATTCTCAAATAACCTAACGTCTCCCCACAATGACATTCTCACATGGATAGTAAATAATAGATTGAAATTTTTTGACAATAGCATTCTCTAATGATGATTTTACTCCGTAAAAATTTAAAAAATACATGAAAAGAGCATTTTTTAAATTATATAATATTTAACTGACAAAATACTAACAGTTGAACTCAATTATCTATTTTTAGAATTCATGGTACAAATATTGCAATTGAAAGTTAAAAATATCTATCTGTACCCCAAATAACAGGATACCTATATGTAATTTACCCTTTATAAATTATGATAAAATACAAGAGATATGTGATATCAAGTGTAAGCGGCCTCTAAATGTTTCACTATTGGTGGGTATATTTGTGTGGAGTGGAATCATCTGATAATATATATTTAAATAGTTTTAGAGACCAGAGGGTATATTCAAGTAGTTTAGTTCAAATCACCGGATATATTTTGGTAATTAACCCTTCTAATTTTTATGATAGGTCCACGTCACGTGGTACAAGATTGATTTTAGGACACGTGAGTATCACATGACTTCCGTTTAAACCGCCACGGAAAACGTAGGTTCTTACTACGCCTGGCGTAAACAATGCCGTTGCCGACAGTGCTACTAAAATAATCCGGATCTCCGTTTTGCTGGACTCTTGCAGCCAATCATCCTCTAAACCTATCCACTTCTAACAAACAGTGGACAGAGACCATCAACTTTAATTTTCATTCCTTGTTTGACCTTGGATTGGGTGACGGACGATTCAGTAACCAAATTGACCATTCACTAAAATAAATCTACCCTTAAATATATATTAAATTACGTGTCCATAAACTTCTGCTCGGAGATCGGAAGGACTGAAGTGTCCATCGTTGATGGACCGAAAGTAAACTCCCTCTTCTTACTAAAGTTATCCAACTTTAAAATTACGATGTAAAAATTCTTAATTCACTAATTAAGTGTATAACAAACCCTAGGGCGGGGTACAGTTTTTTTTTTTTGTCTCTCGCATTACTTTGGAATAGAGGAAAGATGAAAGGGAAATAGCAAAGACTTGGAATAAAGACCCACTGAGATGTGGAGAAGTAAACGTGGCCATTCTTTTTCCCAGTATATAAGTCCTAACGGCCTAAGCGACGGCGTCGCCCCAGTGCGGGGCCCATTTTTCTATTATACTGAGGGTGCCTAATTAATTAATTTTTGCGTTTATTTCCTTTTCCGTGTCACACAACCACCACGTTTTTGTCATTTATACCAACTTATGACTTCTTTCCTTTATTTTGCTCCTTTTGCTTTGCTACTAAAAACAAAGAACTTATCCATCACAGAGCAAATAGAGCTTTGGATGGCCCATCTGTGTCGTGACTTTAGACTACTGGACCCACTCAGTGCACTCACACACCATTCAATAATGAAGGCCTTACCTACCGGATATCTCTTAGCTTCTGATTTTTTTCAGGATCCAATGGTCACAATCATTGGCTAATTCCTTGTAGGTCCCCCCAGTTTCCTCCTACTTTATTTTCTAGCCACGTGTCGTCTTCCTCTATGCATCTCAGGCTCTCAGCATCTGGTATTGGTCATCAGTTTTCCGCAAAAAAAATAAACGAGACTTTATCCATTTACCAACGAGACTCTGACTCACAGTCCAATATCTTCCACGTGGATATAGGGGCATTTTCGATATTTGCAGCCTAGTAGTTAGCCACGTCATACCTCTCGCACGTGTATGAGAGAGATACCAAATTACCAAGAAGGCAAGAATACAGACGAGACGACGAAACACGAAAGACAAGGACGTCCTACCAGTCAGCGCTGCCTGCCGTCCGGGTCCGGCTCCGCGTTGAGTTTCTGTTATTAGACGGAAAGGTGAAGGCCAAATTCGTCACTTTTGCACTGTTCACCAGTCGTGACTGATGAGCCAAAGTCGCTGGTTCGTAGTGGTAGGCTCGTAGCAACAGGTAATTTTTCAATTATTTATCTCCCTTGTCGAAAAACGAAAATCTCAAAAAACAGATCTATAACGCATTCAAAAATTCTCCTTCCAATAAAACAAAAGCACTAAGTTTTTAAAGAGGATGAAGAGATCAGATTATCTTATTTCCTCTCTACGGAATGCGATAAAATGATTTTTTTTCCTGTTTCCGACACGACCCTCCTCTCTCTCTCTCTCTCTCTCTCTCTCTCTGCGAACCATCGCAGAAGCATTTCTCTAGGGTTCCATTTCTCTTTTAGTATTTTCCCTGCATTTTCTTCCGCTTGTGTGGCTCCACGCGCCGAGGCTCTGTTGCCTCTGTTGCCATAAATCCAGCTCTCCTCTTCCCATCACAGATTCCATGTTCCGGCTTCAACCATCAGAAGAGAAAAACTCAATACACTCAAGCGATGAGCTAATTCCCAAGCTTTGAGATCTGAAGAAAGGGGCGGAAATTTGAGGACTTTGCTGAAGAAAGGTGATTTTTATTTCTTCATCTTCGTTTTTAATCTCTTTGTGTTTGATGAGTGAGCTCAAAAAGCTTGCTCTTTCTGTATCTTGTGTCTGGTTTTCTGCTCGTTACTGTGGAGTCAAGAAAGAGTACTTTATTGATCTTTATTTATTTTTTTTATTAACTTTAGGGTATTTACATAAAAGTACTCTATGGATTTGATCGGTTTGTCTTTTGAAGCTCTAAGAAGTAGATGTTGGATAACATTTTCTCACGATGAGGATCTACCAAGCTAAGAATAATTCCGAAAAGTTGGATGAAAGAGATGTCGCCAAGTGAAATTCGATTTCTCTGATCCTTGCATTTATTTGTTTCTCCGAGAGATTGAACGAAGCAATTCTTTTCTGTTTTGCTTTTTTTTTTTTTTCTTGTTTTCCTCTTTCTTGTTTTTTTTTTTCCTTCTGAAGTCTAAAATATGGAAGTTTAAAATCTAGAGGTTTTATATTCTTCAGATGTGGTAACGTTTTCTCTCCGGTAACTAGATAAAAGATGATGATCCGCAAAGGAGGAAGCCCTAACCATTAACTCGTCTTGATTTTCTATTATGATCTACTTGATGTTTAGCGAATTTCTGAATTGTCTGCAGTTTTTTTATCCGTTTTTTGGGAGCAAGGAATGGTCTATCTTTTTTCTGTTTATACCAGAATTCCTAGAAGCTAATCTTTATTTACTTGATTATGTTTCATTTTCTTTCGCTCATTATAGCTTTAGGATATTCTATTTGAAATTCGCAGTTTCTGTTTCGTATATTTGGCTAACCTAAAAAGTCGATGTCCATGGAATTCTGTTTAGGAGATTCAGCTAAAAAGTGTGGAATATATGCTTCTCTTTTCGATTCTTTTACCATGTTATCTTTTTTCCTTTTTTTAAATGTTGCAACTTGCAACCTTTATCTGTTAGAGTTCAAATGATGCTTTTCAAAAAAGTGGTGATCTATTTTCCTTGTGGATCTTGGCTGGTAGAAGTTATCAGCATTTGTGACTTGCGCTTAATCTATTTTCTGGTCCCGACGGATTTTTGTAAGATGCCTATTGGCAGTTGAAAGGCAATAAACAAAAGAAAGAAAAAGGTGGGGGATCTTCTTTGCTTTACCTGTTGATTTTATCTCATTTCTTCTCCTGTAAAGGAAAAGCTTTTACTGGAAATAGATAACGTACTTTATAAAATTTTAGGCAAGTTAGGAGTCCAAAATTGGTTGCCGATATATTTACTCACTTCTTGTTGATATGGAGATGTTGTATTTACATCCTTTTTGTGAAACTCTCGATTAATCATGGCTTAGCTTTTTGTTAGTACGTGTTTTTCTTTTCTTCTTTTGTTTCTCTTTTAGGCAGAAGACTCACATATTTCTTGTTGATCCATTTTCTCTGCCTATCCTTCTGACAATAGTCTTCATCTTTGTTGATCAAGGACTTTGATACTCACTATATTTACTGCATCTGAGGCTACTCGCTCTGAAAATGTAGGGGATAGACAGTGCCCTTGTTCAGTTATCTATGTAAACGACAGAGTAGATTCCCTTTCATGTTGACACCTCTGACTTAGTAACTTATTAATTATGAAAAGTTTCTGATTTTTTTTTCTTTAAACCACTATCATTGGCATTTCTCTTACCTATTTGTCCTTCTTCATTCATATCTTTTCTTTGAAGTGGATTTTTTTTAATATTTTTCATATTGTTGCCATTTGTTTCTTTCAGGGATTGACATTGGATTGAATTGTTGAATTTACTTTGCCATATTGACTGCTTATTAAAATAGAAAACGTTGGCAGCATTGTTCTTTATAATTGCATACTTTCTTCAAATTTTACTAATTCTTTAACCTTGACATATTTTCTCCACCAACATATTTAAAGCAAGTGATATGCCAAGCCTTAAGGTAATCATAAAAGTCATACAAAAGTATGCTGTTAATAACAGAAATCACAGTTAACTATCTCAAGTATAAATTTGAAATACACATTATTCAACCTCTAATGTGTAATGCTGAATCATCCCTGTCCAGATTATATTCTCTTATACATACTATTTTGACCTCACTGGTAAGTTATTCGTGGCATTTCTTGACCTTTAAAATTGTCCCCTTCGTATTTCCAGGGGAAACTATCATTGAAGGTTTTTTAGGTGTGCAGTGGTATGCAGTGGTATTCTTAGCCATTGAGTTTAGGCTTTTCTATCTTCTCTCAAGGACCTGGATAAGAGAAAGCTGAGATTGGGATCTTTTCTAGTCCAAAAATCAGAGCCAAATGCTACACTATCCACATCTTCAAACTTGGGATACACCATGAGCTACTACAATAGCATAGAGAAAAATACCACTTGCAATTCTTCAAGAAAAAGGATATTTGATGGTAACATGGTTTTCTACCTATAAATGAATGTGGCAAAAATGCGAATGCTAAGATGGATGAGTAGAAAAACTAGAAGGGATAGGATTAGGAATGTAGCTATCCATAGTAACCTAGGAGTAGCTCCAATAGAAGAAGTGATTTGTTACACATTGAAGGAGCTAGAAGAGCTCAGGGTAGACCAGAAAAGACATGGGTAGAAGTAGTAAGAAATGATTTAAGCACTAATAATTTAACAGTGGATATAGCTTTAAATAAAACAGATTGGCAAAACAGGATGCATGTAGCCGAGCCCATATAGTTGGGATAAGGCATAGTTGATGGTGATGATGATGATAGTCTTTTACCTATAGTCATTCGTGTGCCTCCAATGATACTTGCCTCAGGGTTGCTAGTTTGGGTTGCTTCTTTACTGTTATCACTTCCAATTGATATATATTCCACTTGCAGTGCTTGTCTGTATCAAAGGTAGACTGTTTTAGTTGAAGTGTTCAACTATGCTGTTTTCTGCTTATTTGTTGTTCAAATTAAGAGACCATTTGAACTAGATAAACCAAACCATATTGTTCTGGTATTTTGACTGAAGTTAATTAGTTAATATGCTATTTCTGTAGTAATAATGGCCATACCAGGTAAAAAAGGTAAGAGTAAAGTTATTCGTGCTTCTGACCTTTTTGTTATCTCCTTCCTAAACTGTTAATTTTCTATTTTACCTACTCTTGGCAGGTCCTTCTAACTAATTGCTATTTCCTTTTCAGCTGCCACTAGTCTTCTGTCACTTCTCTCTAGCCAGTTAAAACTTCCCTTATCAACTTTGCCAACCAGCTGTAGTCAAAGAGAAATACCTGATCCACCATGACCATGAGCAACTTAAAGCTAGGTGTGCAGGTTGTGAGTGCCACCAACCTGATGCCCAAAGATGGGCAGGGCTCATCCAGTGCCTTTGTTGAGCTCCATTTTGATGGCCAGAAGTTCCGTACCACTACCAAAGAAAGAGATCTCAACCCTGTCTGGAATGAAACCTTTTATTTCAATATATCGGACCCAAGCAACGTCCCAAACCTTGCTCTGGATGCTTATGCTTACAACAATATAAATGCTGCCACCCACACCAGATCCTTCCTCGGCAAGGTCCGTCTCACTGGGACATCATTTGTTCCTTACTCTGATGCTGTTGTCTTGCACTACCCCCTAGAAAAGCGTGGCCTCTTCTCTCGTGTTAAGGGGGAACTTGGTTTGAAAGTATTTATTACCGATGACCCATCGATAAAATCATCTAATCCTCTTCCTGCAATGGAGTCCTTCACACATTCTGAAGCGCATGCAACCCAAGCTCCGTCAATGACTCAACAAGTTCAAAATCTATTTTCTGGTGACAAAGCCGAGTCAAGACACACCTTCCATCATCTCCCCAATCCGAATCACCAGCAACAACAACAACATTTTACGGCACCAGTGACTGAACAAGCAGTTAAATACACTGTTGATGAAATGAAAGCTGAACCACCACAGCCAGTAAAAATTGTTCGCATGCACTCAGCATCATCATCTCAGCCAGTGGACTATGCACTTAAAGAGACGAGCCCATTTCTTGGAGGGGGACAAGTTGTTGGTGGCCGTGTCATACGTGTAGACAAGCTTTCTAGCACCTATGACCTGGTGGAGAAAATGCAGTTTCTTTTTGTACGAGTTGTTAAGGCCCGGGAGCTTCCAGCCAAGGACATTACAGGAAGTCTTGATCCATATGTCGAAGTCAAAGTTGGAAACTACAAAGGAATTACCAAGCACTTCGAGAAAAAGCAAAACCCCGAGTGGAATGAGGTCTTTGCCTTTGCAAGAGAGCGAATGCAATCTTCTGTATTGGAAGTAGTGGTGAAGGACAAGGATCTGGTCAAAGATGATTTTGTTGGCATTCTCAAGTTTGATCTTAATGAGGTTCCTACTAGAGTCCCCCCAGACAGTCCATTAGCTCCAGAGTGGTACAGGCTTGAAGACAAGAAAGGGGAAAAGATAAAAGGTGAACTGATGCTTGCTGTCTGGATAGGCACTCAAGCGGATGAAGCATTTCCTGATGCATGGCACTCTGATGCAGCTACCCCTGCTGATATCGCTGCAGCTGTCTCCACCCACATTCGCTCAAAGGTGTACCATGCACCAAGGTTATGGTATGTACGTGTTAATGTTATTGAGGCACAAGATGTCATTCCAGGTGACAAGAGTCGTTTCCCTGAAGTGCACGTTAAGGTTCAGCTCGGTAACCAGGTGTTGAAAACAAAGACTGTTCAGGCTCGGACAATGAGCCCACTCTGGAATGAAGAATTTTTATTTGTTGTGGCTGAACCCTTTGAAGATCATTTGATTCTTTCTGTTGAAGATCGTGTTGGACCAAACAAAGATGAGGTCATTGGGAGAGCCATGATACCTTTAAACTCTGTTGAAAAGCGTGCAGACGATAGACCCATCCACAACCGTTGGTACAACCTTGAAAAGCCAGTTGCAGTTGATGTGGACCAATTAAAGAAGGACAAGTTCTCCACCCGACTCCACCTCCGTGTCTGTCTGGATGGTGGATATCATGTGCTTGATGAATCAACACATTATAGCAGTGATCTTCGTCCCACAGCAAAGCAGCTTTGGAAGCCATCAATCGGAATATTGGAACTTGGGATCCTGAATGTAGACGGGCTCCACCCGATGAAAACACGAGAGGGAAAGGGGACATCCGACACATACTGTGTAGCGAAGTATGGTCACAAATGGGTGCGTACACGGACCATCATCAACAGCCCTTGCCCCAGATACAACGAGCAGTACACCTGGGAAGTTTATGATCCGGCTACAGTTCTTACTGTTGGTGTATTTGACAATGGCCAACTAGGAGAAAAGAGTGGAAATGGTAACAAGGACATGAAAATAGGAAAAGTAAGGATACGTATATCTACACTGGAGACAGGTCGGGTATATACACACACTTACCCATTACTGGTCCTGCACCCTTCGGGTGTTAAGAAGATGGGGGAGTTGCATTTGGCCATACGTTTTTCATGCACATCCCTGGTGAACATGATGTACATATACTCTCGGCCATTGTTGCCCAAGATGCATTACGTACGCCCCTTAACGGTGTTGCAGCTTGACATGCTGCGTCACCAGGCTGTGAACATTGTGGCAGCTCGCCTGAGCAGGGCGGAGCCACCACTTAGGAAGGAGGTGGTGGAGTACATGTCTGATGTGGATTCCCACCTTTGGAGCATGCGACGCAGCAAGGCAAATTTCTTTCGACTGATGACGGTGTTATCGGGATTGTTTGCAGTGGGTAAATGGTTCGGGGATGTACGTACGTGGAAGAATCCCATTACCACTGTGCTTGTGCATGTGCTCTATGTGATGCTGGTCTGCTTCCCAGAACTCATACTTCCAACTATATTCCTATACATGTTTCTGATAGGGATATGGAACTACCGGTACCGGCCACAATATCCCCCTCACATGAATACCCGGATATCTTGTGCCGAGGCGGTGCACCCTGATGAGCTTGATGAAGAGTTTGATACATTCCCAACGTCTCGCAGTCCAGAGCTGGTTCGGATGAGGTATGATAGGCTGAGGAGTGTGGCAGGAAGGGTTCAGACGGTGGTTGGAGACGTTGCAACACAAGGAGAGAGGATTCAAGCACTGCTGAGCTGGAGGGATCCTCGTGCCACGGCAATTTTTGTCTTGTTCTGTCTTATAGCAGCACTGGTGTTATATGTGACACCATTCCAGGTGGTGGCTGTTGTGGCTGGTATATATTTGATGAGGCACCCGAGGTTCCGCCATAGGTTGCCCTCTGTGCCAATCAACTTCTTCCGACGGTTGCCTGCTAAGACTGATAGTATGTTGTAGATACGGAGTTGGATGTTCTGGGGTTGGGGGTGAGCTTGCTCAAGCTCACTTGATACTTAATGTTGTTGTTTTCTTGTTAATTATGAGCTTCAGTTGTCAAAATAGGTAAAGTTGAGATACTTTGGATCACGTACCATTAATAACTATTTTTCTTTCTCTTCACTCTTGAGATACCGAAAGTGAAAAAAAAAGAAAGGTATTTGCCGTGTAGTTCTAGTTTATACTTGTGTATTAATTGTTAACATGTGATTGGTATAGGAATGTTGAATTAAATCAACTAATAGTTTAAGCATTTTCTCCATCATCTGGTGAACTTCTTAGCAGCGGCATGTAGGGGCTTTAATGTTTTGCCCAGAATATATTTAATTCCCAAGTTATGGTATTTAATAGACATCCATGATCCAACACTAATTCACCATCTGACGTACGGGCTAAGCTGATACGGATAGGGTGACAATTCTTGATCCAAATATCGAATTCTCCCTGTTATTTCCAACTGGGTGAGTTTAATTGCAAACTTTGTATTGCGGGAATCCAATCCTATTCAACTAAATAAAGAAAAACGCTTTTCCCTGATTAGAACATTATTAACAATTATTGAACTAGAACAATTATTAAAAATTATTGTCGGATAGGAATCCAATCCTATCCAACAGGGCTAGTTCTAGTTCTTAATGGAGATCAGATCACATGTCAATAAAACACATTCCAACCCTCTATCAATATGATCTTACACTGCACATCTCATATGTAATGGGTCCCACTTTTATGGTGGGACTCAGTCTCATGGTGAGATGTGCAATGTTAGATCTAGTTGGTAGAGGGGTGAAGATGTTTTGTTGGCAGAAGATCTCAATTCTTCTTAATGTAAACAAATGCTCACATTCAATGTTTAATTACTATATTTTATTATTGAAATAAAACAATCCAAGAAACAAATCTAATTAAATTAATAAAAAATAGAGAAAAACCAACCCATGGAAAAGAGAAATGGTGTTTTTAGACTTTTATAGAAGAAGACTTGGTTTATCCCATGTATTAAGTGGGCAAAGTTGGGTTTTGACATTAATTTGGGTCCAAGCTGAGGTTCATTTTTAGGATTGGCCTTTAACCTAACCCAATGCATCTTATTTACACCCTTATTAGAGAGAGACAAAAGGGAATAAGAGAGATGTTATGGGGAGGTGAGATGTTATAAACATTGACTATTAAAATGGGGGGAGAGAGAGAGAGAGATTTCATAATGAACTTATTAGAAAGTTAAGTATGGATTTTATGAAAAACAATGAAAGCTCATGAGGGTTTTAATTTTGACTTATTATATTTTTAATAATTTAATTTAAAAATAAATATACACGTGTAAATAAAGGATAGAAGATACATGTGAACTTTGTGGTGAGAGGACTTTGCACATGCATCGTGAGAATCCTTTAATGAAAGGAAACTTCGCCCGAGGGAGATCTTGCGGGACATATGGCAAACCCCCTATAATGTCCTCCTAACAACTGACATTGGATCAAAGATCCCCTTTCCAAAAAGGAGTCAAACCCCTTTTGGCTCCTTCCTTTCCGGAGCCTTGGAATCTCCCCTTATAAAAGGAGCGTAGACCATAATAAACACATGATTCCATCAACAGAAAATCCTTGTCAATCTTTGCTACCCAAGACCCTTAGTCTTTCTTCGTCCTTCAAGGAGACTACCGCACTCGGTCTTACCACACCACTTACACCAGAATCTTTGGTTCTTACCCTTGATCACGAAGAATGGCTGCCCGAAGAATCGGTCTTTCCCCTATCCCAGAAGAGCAACATGAAAACCCTAACAACTTTAACATAGTGCTCAAAGACCAAGACAATCAAGAGACGGCATAGCAGGAAGACATCACCATCTTGTCCCATAAAGTCTATAGCATTGAGTCCTACTTTGACCGAATGGAACAAATGCAAGCAGATATGCGAAGCACCTTGCATCTACTATTACAAAGGTCAACAACTCCCAAACACCCTCCTTTCATCCACTTTCGTCTCTATAGAACAACTCGCATTTACTCCTCCCAACTGTCCGGTGGCTTCAGCCAAGTGGCACTCACTTGAAACCGACTAACCATCTATGCCCACCATAGTACAGAGAACCCTGCGCTCTGCCGCTGAACAAGCATGGATGGCAACACACAACCTAGCCATCACTGATGCACCAGTTAGCTAGATGGAGATCAGAGAATACGTGCAGGGCATGATAGAGGAAAGTCAAAACAAAGCACAAATGGCCCTCACCTTGTAGAAGCCCTACACCAACCGCACCCTACATATGCCTCACCTGGCCAGTTACATTCCTTCGCAATAATGGCCCCAATATGATGGATAGAAAGGAAGTTCACAAGAACACATCAACAAGTTTGAAGATGCATTGGGTGCGTTCACTCTTGATGGACAGTTTCACCCTGCAACGACTTTTTGTACAAAAGGTCAAGTTAGACAACTACATCAAGAGAAAGCCCGCCTAGGTAGAAACCGATCCCCTCCCATCGCATTCACAGGGTGGCAGCATAAACGTGGTCGGGGCGACCGCTAGCGAAGACAAGGATATGCTGGTTCAGCGCTTTGAACAAAGCATAGAACTCAAACAGTTCTTCAACAAGCAAGGGGCAAAACGACATAGTTCAAAGACTCGATGTCAGGGCGCTTGCAGAAGCATTTAGAAGACCTCTCGAGCCACATCGCATTGATAAACTCAAAGTGGAATTCACACCAGAGGACATACTCGCAACATGCCCACACCACAATCGCCCCCCTATACATAACAACCAAGATAGGGGGCTACGAGATGCGATGGTCACTGGTTGACCAAGGAAGCTCTATTAGTATAATCTCTATTCATACATTGCAACTGATGAGAATACCCTGCAGCACTGTGAAGGGCCTACCCATGGAAGCCACTGATTTCAACGACAATGCTTCTCTCACAGAAGGCTCACTAATGCTACCAGTATCCATCAGCCCTTTCTCTATAAAGCAAGAATTTTAGGTTGTGTTAGGAAAGACCTTGTATCATGCACTACTCAGCCGACCACTGATACATGGCCTGGCACAGGTCCCCTCCACTTACCACTAGTGCATCAAAGCAAAATATAAAGGAAGAACTATCAGGATCCCTGCTACCCACATCCCATTTGAAAGGTCGGAAGTGCACCTACAAGACACAATTTCTTACACTGAGCTCGCTGAGGATGGAGAAATGAAAATGGCTAAAGTCGAAATGTTGCAATTACCAGAACATCAGAGCGGGCCTCCCATGGAAGTAGGATGGAAGAAGTGATCTAGATGTGTCAAGAAGAACAACAAATATGGGAGAAGCTATTACACGACCGTTAAGGAATACAAAGAAGTTGGGCATCCCGTCACAAAGAAAGCCATCCCAGAGGTATGATTTATAAATCAATTTGCATACAATAATCATTGTAATATCTCTTTTTTCCTATCAATGAATTCACCACATTCTTGCATTCAAAACAACTTCATGAACATCATTCCAATTGAATCACAATACAACAATGTCGTGATGCGAACATCACAAACAGAACACAACTCATCACTAGAAAGCACAACAAAACAAGAGGTACATAATGCAATACCTACTCACTAAAAATAAACAATCATGAATAAATAACTAAAACCTCACCCATAACAAGAGCAACATAAAAAAATGGTAGAATAATATGATGAAATCCATGCACCTCCTAAGAACATGCAAGACTCAAATAGCGTAGTGGTAGAACCTTTACAAGAAATCAACATGGCTACTGGAGAAAGAGATAAGAAGCCATTATACATTTCTACCAAATTAGAACAAAAGGAAAAGACGAATTTGATCGACCTTCTAAAAGGTACTAGACTTGTTCACCAGTCACAAATTTAGCAATTCTATTAGAAGACTTACTAAACTATATTTTCCTTCATGGTTGGCAGAATTTCGAGATGCATTCGCTTGGTCATACGACTAGATGCCAGGACTAGAACTAACACTGGTCAAGCATTCACTCTGCATCGACTCCAAATCTAGATCAGTAAGGCAACCACAAAGGGTATTCAAACCAAAAGTTGCCCTAAAAATCAAAGAGGAAATTGAACAACTCCTAAAAGTAGGCTTCATAAAACCCATCACACATCCACAATGACTGGCGAATGTCATCCCGATCAAAAAGAAGAAAGGCCAACTAAAGTTAGTACGCATGCCTAAATTCCAATCCATTGCACTACTGTATCTAGTACATAAACTCCTCACTTCTTGAATCCCTTAGGTACTGTGTAGACTTCAGAGATCTCAATAAATCTTGCCCAAAGGATGAATTCCCACTGCCAAACATGGAAATTCTCATCAATGCCATAGCCGGAAGTCAATTGTTTTCATTCCTAGATGCCTATAGCAGTTATAACTAGATCTATATGGATCCTGTAGATGCACCCTATAGCGTTCAGAATGCCGATAGACAACTTTTACTACAAAATGATGCTCTTCAGCCTAAAGAACATTGGAGCCACCTACCATAGAGCCATGACAAGCGTCTTCCATAATGTGATGCATAAGATGATGGAGTGTTACGTGGATGATATTGTCATGAAAGCCATGAAAAGAGAGGACCACACTGAGGTACTGAGGAAAGTGTTCACACAATGTCGATCCTTCAACTTGAAACTCAACCCCCTCAAGTGTGCATTCGGAGTGTTATCGGGAAAGTTCCTAGGATATAGGATCGATCACATTGGAATCCACCCAGATGAAAGCAAGGTGAAGGCAGTCCTAGACCTACCTCCCCCAAGCAATGAGTCGCAACTCAAGACATTCTTAGGGAAGGTGTCCTACCTTAGGAGATTCATTCTTGGTCTTGCACATGCCACATCTCCCCTTCTCAAACTCACTAAGAAATCTATAGAATATTGATGGTCGTCGCAACATCAGAACACCTTTGACCAAATAAAGCAGGCGCTAGCTAAAGCACCAACCATGTCCCCATCGAAGAGTGGTCATAAATTTTGGTTGTACATCACATCCAACTTAGAAACCATTGGGTGCCTACTAGCCCAAGAAAATGAGGAGAAGGTGGAATGCCCCATTTACTACACTAGTAGGACATTGAAACCAATAGAAAAGAACTATTCACACATGGAACAACAATGCCTAGCACTTTTCTTCGCTACCTAGAAATTCAAGCACTACATGCTAGGTCAGAAGGTGGTCCTGATAGCAAGAAATGACCCAATCAAATACTTTATAAA